CTATCTACTTAGCTACTGCCGAGTTTCTGAATGTTAACAATAGTTTAAACTTCAAACTTCATTTATCACCAAGGGCCCAAAACTGAAAACATTGCCTGAACTTAGCAATTTAATCGTGCATGTAAATGCCTATTAAATCTACTAAAACAGTCCAATTATATAATTTGATGGAAGTTCAACTATTATGACTTTCAAATCCTGACTAATACTGTTATTTAGTACCCTAAATAATGAACTGATTATAGCTATACATGTTAATCAAAGCAGGCATTAGTCCAATGAAATGAATTGAATGAAAATGCATCAATCCACAGTCCATTGTTTATGTTAATACAAACCAAACTAACCTATACTAGACAAGTACATATCAATTAGCATCTATCTAACTACGGATATATGATGATCCACACGAGCACAGATCTGGAAGCAAATTCGTGAGTATTTTTCATTTCATTTCCAACTCAAAGCTACATCAAGGAAAATTCAAGGTATGTACCTGGAATTGAATGAACAAAGGAACAAGATGGAGTCAGCAGTGTTAAACAGCAGGGAAAATACAACAGCAACAGTAGTGAGTATTCAGCAACCAAATCAACAGCAACACAACCCGCCAAAAATCAGAAACCCAGGGAAAAGAAAGCAGATGCAACTGACTTCAAACTCGATTTCAAATCCACATTCGACTCATTTTTATATCCTTAACACTCAGAAATTGTTTTGAATATGAAAACTCAGAAAAATATAATAAGAACAGTATTTTGTTTTTGTTTTTTTCTTTTTGGGGATTTTCTGCTATTTTTGTTTTTGAATTTGAAATTCAAATTTTCAGAGATTCAAAACTTGTAGGAACTTTTGGGGGAAGTTTCAGAGATGCCAAAACTTGTGACTTAAGGCATTGGCATGCCTTTTTATAGGCAAAATGAGGGCAGCCCTCAGATTTTGTGTTTTCCTTCTAGTCCCTAGGTTATTTTCATAAATAGTCCTTTACTTATTGACTTGTTCCTCAAGTTAATACACTAAAAGTCACTGAAATTCAATTTCAACCCTTTCTAGATGCTTCTAGTAGCTTCTAAGTTCAGTTACTAAATGGATTTCCCTAAATTACCCTCCTCACTAGCTTGGAATTACTAATTCAACCCCAACCTTATTGACTAACCATGGTTGTCTAACTAACCAGCAGTTCTGAAAATCAAAAAACCAAACAAAACCTTAAATTGAACTAAAAGGAGATTAATTCTACCATAAGCAAAACAATCACTGCAAATTGATCAACTAAATAGAACTTAAACAAAAATTGACCTAATTAATCTAATTAACTGACATTTAACTCTAAACAAATAGAAATCTGGAAGCTAACACATCAATGAACTAATTAACATCAAGCAGAACCAAAATGTGACCAGCTATGAAGACTAATTGACCAGAAATCAAATATACAGAATGACAGTTGAACCTGGAACCTTACTACCGAAATCAATGAGCAGATTAAACACTAATTATATGGGGGAAGAACAATTATGACCTAAATTGAAATTTTAAATCATCACAACCTAACAACAGGATTCTAAACAAACAACAATAGGAAAAATAAAAAGCTGAAAACAGAGAAGAACATGGACTCACTGATTTTAGGTCTTCACATGGCTAACCTTGAATTGTCGCATTCAAAATTAATCGAGCACTTGAAATCCCCAAAACAGGTCGAACTTCTGAACCCTAGATCTGGAATTAACGGAGTTTTGCTTGGATTTGAAAGATTTTGGCTTGGAATTCAGGATGGGGGAGTCAGGGAGATTGTGGGGTGTAATTTTGACCGGATTGGAAGAAGTAGGGTTTTGGCTGGATTTTCAAATGAAGATTCGAAAAGACTTGCGATGATTCGAGGGACATGGTTTGGATATTTGAGATGAGGAGATTGAGGAAGTCCTAGGGTGTTAATTTGGGAGCGGTTTGTGGTGGCGCCGCCGTAGGCGGCGGAGACGGCGACTAGTATTTTAATGATTCGAGGGGTTCCAGTGGTATTTGAGGGGAGAGACTAACAGATTCATGATAAGGGGAGGAAGGGGGTACTCTGGTGTGATTTTGGGTGTTATTGGAGTGGTTTCCGTCGTCGCCGCCGGCGAGTTTCGACGGAGTATAATAGGGCGGCGTCTCTAGGGTTTTGAGAGGCGTGTGTTCTGAGAGATGAGAGATGCGGGGGTGGGGGCGATTCCGATAATTATATGTCGAAAAATATCAATTCCTGACCGTTAGATCAAACAACCTAGACGGCCAGGATTGATTGTCGTGGAAACGACGTCGTTTGAGCCCTAAGGCTGGACCGGATCGAGAACCTTTGGGCTGGGGACCGGATTTGGGGTTTTTGGGCGTTTGGGCTGGGATTGGTTTGGAAGGGGTTTGGGGTTTGGGCTTGAGTGCCTGAACAAAAATGGCCCAATGTTGGCCAGCCATTTGCTTCTTTATTTTAGTTTCTTTTTATTTGTTTTCCTTCTTTTCTTTCTTTTTTGTATTTTATTTACTTATTAAATAAAAATCAAAAAAATAATAATTCCTAGAACTGATTATCTAAAAAAAACTGATTAAACCTACAATGATAATTAATACGATTGATTAACAACAAATTAACGGGAAAACTACTCAAAGTCAAAGCTAAAACTAAAAATGCAAATTAAACTATTTTTTTTGTGATTTTTCATTTTTGTAAAATCCTAATTACTGATTAATCTAAAAATATGTAAAATTAAGTCCTAAATGCAATGCAATAATTAAAATGCACAGACAAAATGCAAACAGTTAATATAAAATGCCACAAAAATCCATAAAATTGCAAACACTGAAAGAAATTATTTTGTTTTGAAACTATGGGAGTATTTCATATAGGGCAAAAATCACGTGCTCACAATCATATAACTTGATATGTGATTAACATAGAACTTTTTAACTAAATATAATAGATTAGGGACAATGTTACTCTTTCTCGTTTTATTTTAAATGGTTCGTTAGTTTTTAGGATATATTTGGGCCAATAGAAAGCGGTGTGCGCATTTTTAACTCAATAGGTGGATGGAGGGAAATTCTGTACCAAATCCTATTGGTTAGGGGCAGTTTTAATCCTTTTTTTTTATGAATAACTTATTTATACTGACAATTTATTTTTTGTATATTATTAATATAACTTAAAATGTTACATTGAATTATTTACTTTATTTTGCACGTTATGAATTTACTTATTATGAATATTTATATGTATTTATCTTTTAGATAATATAATGCTAACAAAAAAAAAGAAAGAATAACACATAAATACAGTCCACATACATTACAGCTCGGTGGCCTATATAAAATTTTACAAAGTGATAGCCCAAAAATAATAGGCCAGGATTCAATATCCAACTCCAAATAGGTTCTCAAAACCTCTATTTAGGTTCTTTTCTAAAAGCTCAAGCTTTTAACCTATTTTCCGAATCACTAATTGTGACTTAAATATAGATCAACAAATCAAATTCATTTGGGTGTTGACAACTAGATTTGTAAGGTAATTCACCATTGTTCAACAAACATAAAATAAGTAGATTTAGATTTTGAATTCAATTTTGTGAGAAATTTAAAGTGGTTAGTGCTTAGACTTGTTAAAAATAGTCTACGGAGGCTGTCTACACAATTTGAAGTCATTTGGTGGGGATTTAGAGTGGTTTGAACAAGAATTACAATTGAAAATCATAAAAGAAGTTTGTCTATAGACGCTTATATGCTTTAATCCAATGCAATACACTTTTATATAAGTAGGTACATTACGTATATAGGTATATAAAAGTATTTACATATGTATAATCACATTAGTGAAAAATATGTTGGCGATACACTATGCATGTAGGTGTATAAAAAGAAGAAGAAGAAGAAGAAGAAGAAGAAGAAGAAGAAGAAGAAGAAAATGTGAGTAATCCACCAATATACATGTAAATAATGCATCAACCTTGTATACAATAGTATATAAGAGGTGATTATATACCCTTATATATTATTATTATTATTATTATTATAAAATATTAGATATATTATACAAATGAATCCTAATAATTGAGAAATTTAACTTATATCTAGCTTAAATCTGCTCCAAATCGCTTAAATTTAAGTTTTAAATTCTTCCTGATGTTTCGAATCAATTGGGACAACACCCAATCTAATAACCAACGAAATCGAAGAACTCATCAATTTATGAGATAGAAGGTTCAAACAGCCTTTATTGGTGAATACTTATTTTCAAGTTTCAATCAACCATAATAAAGAGAAGTTTCAAGTTTCAATCAACCATAATAAAGAGAAGCTCGACTTCGGCTTAAAAAGAACACGACTTAGACATTAAAACTTTAGATTTCATTTTTTGTTAAATTTTGACTAAGTCTTCGAAATATCATAAAATGGAGGTTCAAGTTATCCTTTTAAACTCCTCAACCCACAAGCAGCGAATAAATTTCGCCTTTGAATTTGGAAGGAGAAGTGAAGAAGAATAACAAGGAAGAATTTGGGGGTGCAAAGTCGTTGACATTGAAGGAGAAGAAGAAAGAAATAATAATACTAATAATTAGAAGCGGGTCTTTAATGTTGGACCAAGGAATGAAAAAAAAAAAATCTAGTTATATACAAAGTGTATCAAACCAGATAAAAAGATTAAAAAAAATGATCACATTTGATTCGGATATTGTCCAACGAAAGTAATTTATTCTATCAAAAATTACATTATATAAGTAAACTTCAAACCCCCCCCCCCCCCCCATACATGATATACATATCACTTTTTATTGTAATAATTTATTAATAATAATTTTTTTTATCTCAATTTATGTGATATTCTTTTCTTTTAGTTCGTTTCAAATGACATATTTTTAAATTTAAAAATAATTTAATTTTAAAATTTTTATTTATTTTTAATGAGATAATTATTAGCTATAAAAAATTTATAATTTATAAACCACAAATTTTAGAAATAATGCTCCCTTTCATTTGGTTCAATCAAATACGATCATACATTAGGCTAAACACCTCGCAGTAGTAGTAGTAGATTTGTTTTCAAAAAACCTCCAACCCGCGCAGCCCACTCCTTCCCGACCTCGCCGTCAACCGGCGCTCCGGCAATCTCGTCGTCGTCCGGCTCTCCTACTAAACCGGTGTAGATCCTGGCGAAGTAATCTTTCTGTTACACCAATTGGGTTGTTCCATTACCCTCGCCCCCACTTTTACCGCCCCCTCAAATTTTGTATGTAGAATTTCAGAATTACTAGAAATTCTTCACATCAAATGGGTTTCAAAGAAAACTGCAGAAACGAGCTCCGAGCCGCTGTCCGTCAGCTCAACGACCGTTGTCTCTACTTTGCCTCCAAATGGTATCCCCTAAACCCTAATTTTCTCATTGAGGTATGTATAATTATTTCTGATGGAAAATTGGTTTGTTAAACAGGGCAGCAGAGCAGTTAGTGGGAATAGAGCAAGACCCAACGAAGTACACGCCATCACACACTAGATTCCAGCGTGGCAGCTCCAGCATTCGTCGCCGGTTCCGTACAGCCACAGAACCTGCTGCTTCTTTCTCTTCCACACCGGTGGCCGGTACATCTTATGTGGCGACCCCACCGGTGGTGTTGGAGGATGATGGCAGTGACACCGCCATTGACAGTGACTTTTACCTGCTTGCTAAGTCCTACTTTGATTGTCGTGAGTACCGGCGTGCAACTCACGTGCTTCGCGACCAGACTAGCAAAAAAGCTATCTTCTTGCGGTGTTATGCTCTTTACTTGGTTTGTTCATCTGACCCTCTTGCTCCCTCCGTCCCAGTTTTATGTGATAGTGTTCCATTGGGCACAGAATCTAACAAAGAATGATTTTTGTACTTATGGTCTAAAATAACCTACAGATATTAGTTTGCTATAATCAAATGAGAAGTTTAAAGTTAAATTGTTTAAAATTATAAAAGGTGTCATTTTTTTTTGCACATACTAAAAAGGAAATTCCATCACGTAAGTTGGGACTGAGAGAGTATCAATCTATCTTTTTCTGCTCAATTTTGGTCTCTCCGTCCACCCTCCTTTCTTTATTATAACAAAGAGGATAAATCTGCTAACTTTGTGTAATCTGAATTCCGTGAAGCAAAATCGATCCCAAGCTTGAATAAAGAAAGAGAGTGTGGCATGTACAAGACTAAAATAGTTTAATTTTAAGAAAAGGAGAATTCATATAGCTGATTCCGACTAGTTCAGATTGAGGCGTAGCCGGTTGATTGGTGAGTTGATCAGTTAGAGAGTCAATCCGGTATTGGACTAGCTGTTAAGAGTTTTCCCATTATAAGGCACTAGCTTAACATTGAAGAGTATGCTGTTACTTGAATAAAAGAGATGAAATTTTTAATTGGTGAATACGAAATAGTAATGTCAAGTGGAGTGCATTCAAATATATTACTCAAAACTGGTCAAATTTCAGCTAAGGAAATTTCGAGAGTCAAGTCAAGAAGTGGCGTTAACAAAACCACTGACAGTTATGTCATTTAAAGCTTGGAGAATTTCGTTTTTCAGATAGTTGCCTTTTGGAGAACGCGTCCTGTATAATTCACATTGATTGGTAAATGGATGGTCAAGGAGAAGTTATGGCTAGGAAATGCTCCTGTGTTGTTACCTAATTATGAGTTGCACTATTTGAATACATTGCATTTCTAAGGTGTTAAAGGGACCTTTGAAAGAAAAGGGTATGAGAGATCCAAAATTTATTATCAATCACTGAATTCTTATGTCCTCTTTTGTCTCATGAATTCTCTAGGTATTATATGCATGTGGATGTGCCTAACTCTCCTATGTTTGTGTTTACTTACTAAGGTGAAGTAAAAAATATACAACAATGATTTTCTTCACTTGGTACTCTCAAAGAAAGTGGTGTCTCTCATTATTGAAGTCTTTAACATTCACTTATTTATCCAGTGTCATTCATTCTATGAATAACAGAAGCTGCAGTTTCAGATAGTGTCTAGATGGGTTATGAACTAATTATCTCAATGATAGTGAGAAACTAATATCTTTTCGTCTTACTAATGTTCCAAGATTTTGAATCGTGTAGTCTCCTTCAAGATGGTTTCACTCTATAAATAAATGTATGTAAGGTCTTCCCTCCCTGTATTTCATATCTTTGACATTTCACTCGCATCAGGATAAACTCTAGAATACGTTTCATGTGTGTTTGATGGGGTAGCATGTCAGATCTGCCATTTAATTTAGTTTCCAATGAAGAAGGAAGGGAAAGCCGGAAAGGTCCAATAGAGAAGTATAAAAGTAGTAGAACATGCTGGTACTATATGCGGGTAGAGCTTTCTTTTAACGGAAAGTTGACATTTCTGTTTCTAGATTGGATGGCTCTAAAGAAGAAAGAAATCCACCATTTAGAAAGGTCTATTTTTGTGTGTTGTCTCTTCAATTTTTCAAGAAAAGATTGCTAGGCTTTTGGGAGCCTTTATCTTGCTGCATGTTGGCTTACTAGTGCATTTGGAGGCTATATATGACTCTTTCTCCTTTGCTCGTTTCTTTGGCTTACCCTCACCAAGCTGGAGGATGGAGGGTGAATGATCTTCTGTAGCTTCCTGTACTTTCACGTTTTTAAACAGCTTTCCTTCAACTTTGCTTTTCATATCTGAAGTCTAGCATCTTATTGTTCTTGTGTAACTGCCGAAAGTTTGCTGATTTGGGTCTAAGTATCTCTATTAGACTTGTAATTCACATCAAACTATGAAATGATTAATGGTGTTTGTCTCATTTCTTTTATCTCTTAGCTTGCCCAATAAGTGCTGCTGTTGGACCAGAAATATATTTGAATATATTTTAGTTATGTTGTCACTCCTCCCATCTGATGTTTTGATTTACTTTTGTTTATTCCTTATTCCAAATGATTAACCTCGCTCATGGATTCAAGAATAAACCTGTGTAAACACTTGTAAAAATAATCAGTAGTAATCAACTAGTGTTAACTATATAGAGACTCAAACTAACTCCTGAATGTCCAATCTTTGGCAAAGTCTGTCGTAAAATAGAAGCACAAGGAGCTATTTGATGCAAATCCTGACCAATACAAATGTAATAGCCCTTAGCCATCTTTACTTAATCTCCATTCCTAACCCAACTAGTAACAGGAAATGGTCAAAGGGAGGAAAGGTAGTGCACTCCAATTTTCTCTTTTTCAATCTTCTTCTCCTTAATCAAGTTTTTGAGTTAGCAGTTTAGAAAAGAGATAAGGATGAGTAGGTATCAAATATTTATCTATGTTCAATTCTAAGCCGGAGGCCTTTGATGGTTTGCCGATTGCTATTTGTGTTTTGCTTTGAAAATGATAGTGCCACTGTTTGAATAAATCTCATCTGAGTCTGGTTCTCAGATGTTATCGAACTTCTACAAATATATGAAAAGAATACAACCTGAAGTAGCGTTATTCCTTCTTTTTATCATGAAATGTACCAGATGAGCCTTGATACTTATTCTGCTTCTTGCGTCTTCCTGAAGGCTGGGGAAAAGCGAAAAGAAGAAGAGATAATTGAACTTGAGGGACCCTTAGGCAAAAGTGATGTTGTGAACAAGGAACTGGTTTCTCTTGAGCGAGAGTTGTCTGCACTTCGCAAAAATGGAACAATAGACTCCTTCTGTCTTTACTTGTACGGACTTGTTCTTAAGCAGAAAGGCAGTGACAATCTTGCTAGGTCAGTTCTTGTCGAGTCAGTAAATAGTTATCCTTGGAACTGGAGTGCTTGGTCTGAATTGCAGTCATTGTGCACTACAATTGAGACATTGAAGAGTCTGAATCTTGATAACCACTGGATGAAAGACTTCTTCCTAGCCAGTGCTTACCAAGAACTCCGTTTGCACAATGAATCATTGGCAAAATATGAGCACTTGCAAGGAACTTTCAGCTTTAGCAATTATGTCCAGGCCCAAATCGCTAAAGCTCAGTACAGCCTGAGAGAATTTGAACAAGTGGAAGTTATATTTGAAGAACTTCTAAGAAATGACCCTTACAGGATTGAAGACATGGATATGTATTCCAATGTGCTGTATGCCAAGGAATGTTGTTCAGCCTTAAGTTATCTCGCACACAGAGTATTCTTGACTGATAAATACAGGCCAGAGTCTTGTTGCATTGTCGGGAACTATTACAGTTTGAAGGGGCAGCATGAGAAGTCGGTCATGTATTTTCGGAGGGCCCTCAAATTAAACAAAAATTATTTGTCAGCTTGGACACTTATGGGTCATGAGTATGTTGAGATGAAAAACACTCCAGCAGCAGTTGATGCCTATAGGCGGGCTGTGGACATAAACCCATGTGATTATCGAGCCTGGTATGGGTTAGGGCAAGCATATGAGATGATGGGAATGCCCTATTATGCCCTTAATTACTTTAAGAAGTCAGTGTTCTTGCAGCCTAATGATTCTCGGTTATGGATTGCAATGGCCCAATGCTATGAGACAGAACAGCTTCATATGCTTGAAGAAGCAATCAAATGTTACAGAAGGGCTGCAAATTGTAACGATAGAGAAGCTATTGCTCTTCACCAGCTGGCAAAACTGCATGCTGAACTTGACCGTTCTGATGAAGCAGCATTCTACTACAAGAAGGATTTGGAAAGGATGGAAGCTGAAGAACGAGAAGGTCCAAACATGGTTGAAGCCTTAATGTTCCTTGCTAGATACTATAAGACTCAAAAGAGATTTGAAGAAGCAGAGGTTTATTGCACCCGCCTTCTTGATTACTCTGGCCCAGTAAGTTTATATTTGTGTCTAATTAGACTAAGAGTCAATAACTCAGTGTTTAAATTAAATTATTTGCCTATGTATAGTTCATGTAAACAAACTTTTTAGCTGCTTCCCTCGCTCTATTTTTTTTATTGATGCAGGAGAAGGAAACAGCAAAGAGTCTACTCAGAGGAATAAGATATGAAATGGATGTTGAGCATTTTCCACCCTAAGTTTACTGGAGAGTGTGTTCATGCTTGTCAATAACTCGCTGAAAAGCTTGGGGAGGTCACGTGGAACAGCAAAAGGTATCATTAAACTTACCGAAGGCATGACCCTTGACAGAAAGGTGTGGAGGTCGATAATTAAGGTAGAAGGCTAGTAGGTAATCGAAAGTGTTTCTATCCCATACCAGGAATATTAGTGTTATTCTTGTATAACTTTCTTTCCCATACCAGGAATATTAGTGTTAGTCTTGTATTCTGTTAATGGTAGATTTCTATTATTACATGTTGTTCCTTTGCTTCATTTTCTTATTGTTTCTGCTATTGCTTTCTTTTCATCTTTTTGAGCGGGTATCTTTCATAAACAACCTCTCTACCTTCAAGGTAGGGTAAGGTCTATGTACACACCGCCCTTCCCAAACCCCATTTGTTGGACTATATTAGGTTTGTTGTTGCTGCTGCATGACCAACTCTGGACACACGGGATATCTCTATTCAATGATAAACTTATATAAAGTGACTTGAGCTAACGACTCAGATATTTATACATAAATTTTTGAAAAAGAAGACACTTATCAGTTTAATATGAATTAATCATCTGATGGACTAAGCAATTTGAAACAAATTAACCGAGGAAAAGATCGCAGATGACTTAAAAGATAAAATAGAGCAGTATAAACAAGTCTATCTTGTTCTTGGAGTTGCAAGAGTGATTTTTTCTAGCTATCCATCCAATAGTCTAAAGCCATTTCAAGACTAGACCCGAATCTTTCCAAAAAAGGAAGAGATCTTAGAAAAACGAAGGCGAATACCACCAAATGGCGTGACCCAAATTCATTCATAAAAATACTTATAAAGGCATCTAGTGTTAATGCCAATCACGAACAATAACTTTACGTATTGCCAATTAAAACGAGTTACTGTATCACTGCATACATGGTTGACATGCGCGGAACAAAGTGAACAAAGGAACGAACTTATTGATTATCCAGTGCAAGCCCACAAGTAATAAAGGGTTACAGTATTCTTCAAGGAAGAAACCTGACTAGGTTTTACTAAGCAATCCACTACTCATCCTGATCCAGTATGGCTCGAACTTTTGTTAGATAAGTCTGGTTCTCGACGAAGAACGTACTATTGCAATTTGTTGTCACCATTATATTTGTTAGATTGTTATGTACATAATATGAATTAATCCTAGTCCCACATAGAACATGCGTATGATATGTATTTGTATAAATAGGGCTCATTGTATTATAATTAAATAGAATATCAATAATAGATTTTCTCCGTACATTCTCACATGGTATCAGAGCATCGGTGAGAAAAGATCGTTGTGCGTCATTCCAGCAACATCCGCGAAGAAAGAACTCAGTCACAGTGCGATTTTCTGGTGACCTAAGTGAGTGTATGCGTCAAAGTCACTAATTATCGGTGTTGTGTGAATTCCAACACCACCACAAAATTTCCAAGAGAGAGGCAGCCAAACCCCAGAAAGATCCTCCTAAAAAGACCCACTCACGCGCCCTCACGCGCCTGTCAGAGATCTGCCTCCGGCGGCGCGTGACGTCTGTTCCAGCCAGAATTTGAAATTTTTTCTATTGGACAATATTATCTTATTGCAATTCTGAGTCTACCAATCCAATTTAAATCAAATTCCGACCACTTTTATTTTTTTTGGCATGAACAATGATTTTCCGGTGTGAACAGTAATTTCCAGAAAATTTTTGCTTTTCCCGGCGTAAATAATGGCATTCGTATCAGAAGCCTTTGACTCACAATCCGTTGGATCCAATGCATTGAATCCAATCCAGATGGTTTCTTTACCGGATTATATTGAGTTCTTTCAGTACAAAGCATGTAAACAGACATCTTCAGGGATAGCTTTCGTTGTTCAAATAGATAGTAGCATGACTTGTGTCTCCCATTATTCAACCTCTAAGTCTTGGGTCATTGATTCAGGTGCATCTAATCATATTTCTGGTAACAAATATCCTTTCACTACTATTTCATGTTCTCAATCTCTTCCAACAGTCACAATGGCCAACAAGTTTCAAATCATGTCAAATGGAATAGGTCAAGCAAGTCCACTTCTTTCCTTACCTTTAGATTCAGTTATTCATATTCCCGATAGTCCGTTTATTCTCATAGTTGTTAGTCGCTTATCCAGATCACTTAAATGCTCTGTTTTATTTATTGATGACCTTGTTTTTATACAGGAACGCAGTACAGGGCGGATCATTGGTACCGGGCGTGAATTTGATGGACTTTATTACCTTATCCTTGCAAAATCACATGGACTCACATCTTGTCTTCCTTCAACAACTTGTCGGGCGATGTGCACAGATAGCCACTAACAGCTTATGTCTTTATTTTAAAGCCAGCGTTTTAAATGTCTTTAGTCTTTAGCCACTGGTTTAATAAACTTTAACTGCTCGGACAAAAATACCCTTCTGCTCATGTCCTTAACTTCAGGACTTCAGGACTACATGTCCTTAACTTTTGAACTTGAAACTCTAAGTTCAGGACTTCAAGACTACATGTCCTAAATTTTTAATTCAAGGTTACATGTCCTTAAGTTTTGAACTTGGAACTCAAACTTCAAGACCAAGCGTCCTTAACTTTTGAACTTGTAAGTCAAAGTTAAGGACCTATTGTCCTTAACTTTTGAACTTGTAACCGTAAGTTAAGTACTGCTTGTCCTTAACTTTTGAACGTGTAACTGTAAGTTAAGGACTGTCTGTCCTTAACTTTTGAACTTTAAACTCAAAGTTAAGGACTGCATGTCCTTAAGTTTTGAACTTGAAACAATAACTTAAGGACTGCATGTCCTTAAGTTTTGAACTTGAAACTATAAGTTAACGACTGTCTGTCCTTAACTTTTGAAACTGAAACTCAAAGTTAAGGACAGAAAGTCCTTAAGTTTTGAACTTGAAACAATAACTTAAATACTGACTATCCTTAACTTTTGAACTTGAAACTATAAGTTAAGGATTGTCTGTCCTTATCTTTTGAACCTGCATGTCAAATTTAAGGAATGCATGTCCTTAACTTTTAAACCTGCATGTCAAACTTAAAGACTCATGTCCTTAACTTTTAATCTTTGAACTCAAAAAAACAAAAACAAGGAAAGAAGAAAGAAATTACTGTACGTAATTGAGACATCTGCTCAAAAATTCAGAACTTGAAAATTTTGATGATGCAAAAGGAACTACGGTACGTATTGGTAAAAGGAATAGTGAAGCAAAATCAGAAGGATCTCGTGATGGACCTGGTTATGTCCTAGTAATTGGGGTCACTAATAGACCTGATGCTATTGACCAAGCATGGAGGAGGCCGACCGTGAAATCGCCTTGGGTATTCCAGATGAAAATGCAACGCGAAAGAGAGGAAGAAAGGGTAAAATTGTCTTTTTCTATTAGTAGTGGCTATTTTTGCTGAGCATTATAATTAGTGGATAAAAATTAAAGACACCCTTAATTAGTGGCTACTACACGCCATTTTTACCAACTTGTCTTGTTACTGATTCACCAGATTTATTACATAAACAGTTGAGACATCCCAGTTTGTCAAAACATCAGAAAAGGTACCCGATTTATCTCACTTGTCCACTCTAGAGTGTGAGTCATGTTAGCTCGATAAGCATACCCGCTCCCATTTCCCTCGGCGTCTTGATAATTGAGCAAAATCACCTTTTACTTTAGTCGATTCAAATGTTTGGGTCCTAGTCGGATCAGTTCTACCTTGGAATTCCGCTACTTTATTAGTTTCATTGATGATTATTCTAGGTGCACTTGGATATTTTTGATGATAAATCGATCTGAGTTGTTTTTTTATTTTTCTAACCTTTAACGCTGAAATTCAAAATTAATTTGGGGTTTCTATCCGCACATTTCGTAGTAATAATGCCCTGGAGTATTTGTCTTCCCCATTTCGGCAGTTTATGAACTCTCATGGGATTATTCATCAAACATCTTATCCGTACACATCCCAACAAAATGGGGTAGCTGAAAGAAAGAATAGACATCTTATTGAAACTACTCGTACCCTATTCATACAATCTCATATTCCGTTGCATTTTTTGGGGGATTCAGTTCTTACATCTTGCTATCTTATTAATCGTATGTCATCTTCAACTATCCAGAATAACGTTCCATTCTATGTCATGTTTCCTCACTTACCTTTGTTCTTTGTTCCACCTCGTGTCTTTGAGAGCACGTGTTTTGTTCATAACTTTACTCCAGGAAAAGATAAGTTAGCTCCCCGTGCTCTTAAGTGCGTATTTTTGGGTTACTCGAAAACGCAAAAGGGATATCGATACTATTCTCCTGACCTCTAGCGGTACCGTATGTCTGCTGAGGTTACTTTCATTGAAACCCAATCATACTTCACAGATCCAGGTAATCACTTAGATATTTCGGAGGTGCTAACAGTTCCATCTTCTGGATATTCAATCACTATCTCCCATTCACCTTCCTCTATAACTCCAGCTTCACCACCTACAGCTCCAGTCGCAGCTCCACCACTTATAGCTCCAGTTCCACCACCTAGTCTAGTTCAACCTTATACAGCTCCACCACTCCTGACTTATCATCATCGTCCGCACCCAGCATCAGGTCCAGCTGATTCACGTCCTGCACCTGACCCTGCTAATAATACGGACTTGTCCCCTCTAGTCAATCAATTACACTACGGAAAGGTATACGGTCCACACTCAATCCTAATCCCCATTATATCGGTTTAAGTTACCATCTTCTGTCATCACCCCATTGTGCATTTGTATCATCTTTGTCCTCTGTTTCCATCCCTAAGGCTACAGGTGAAACGCTATCTCATCCAGGGTGGCAACAAGCTATGATTGACGAGATGTCTTCTTTACACACGAGTGGTACTTGAGAGCTTGTTTTTTTTCCTTCGGGTAAATTAACTGTTGGTTGTCGTTAGGTGTATGCAGTCAAAGTCGATCCAGATGGCCAGGTTGATCGACTTAAGGCTCGTCTTGTTGCCGAAAGGTATACTCAGATATTTGGGCTCGATTACAGTGATACTTTCTCTCCCGTGGCTAAAATAGCACAACCCACCTTTTTATATCCATGGTTGTTATTCGTCATTGGCTCTCTATCAGTTGGACATTAAGAATGCTTTTCTTCACGATGACCTTGAGGATGAGGTTTATATGGAGCAACCACCTGATTTTCTTGCTTAGGGGGAGTCTAGTGGCCTTGTATGTCGGTTGCGCCGGTCCCTCTATGGTCTAAAGCAGTCACCTCGAGCCTGGTTTGGTAAGTTCAACACAGTTATTCA